TCCGTCCCGACGCTGAATACTTTGATACAGGGATCTGGGAATCTCTCCGCTCGGGGTCCGCAAGTTCCGACTCCTCCCAGGAAATAACGTTGAGGAAGTGGAAGGGAGTGGTCTCGGCCTCACCCCCGCACGCCCCTCCAGGACTGCCTTGAGCACCCGAGTTCCCACTCCCTCCAGTTACTGTCTCGCTGCCATACCATAACTTGTAGTCTCAACACTTACTGCTTCCTCCCGCGGTTATCGGATTCAGCGCCCCGGCTCAGAGCTTTAAAGAGACAGCAGTGGACTTGCCTGGTTGCGGACAATTAATGAGCCCTGAAATCTCTAGGTGAACACCAGCCCTTATTTCTGTTCTTGCATCTGTCCATCCTCCTGGAGTGACGAGCAGGGCCAGCTCCAGGCTAGACCCTTCAGTAGCCCACGGTCTCGCTAGACCATGTGGAAGTGCCCAGGCGAGGTAATAATTCCTGCGGCCAAGAAGACCCACCGAAGAGGCGTCATTGAGATGAGTGGCTGGTGGGTGGGATAGGGGAATCGGCTTTCCAACCTGCGTGAGTGGGGCGGGGCGCAGGCCCTGTTTCCTGACGCTTAACACCCCTACCAGCACTCTCCGCTTGTAAGATCAGGTGATCAGGTTTCTCTTGCCCTCCTGTCTATTCTCCTGTCTCCAGGAGACCCTTCTACCTGCCCCCTGAGACCTCCAGAAGGTAAGGGCCTCTGAGGTTCCCTCCTAGCACGGCTGGGAGGGAGACCCTTCTACCTGCCCCCCTGAGACCTCCAGAAGGTAAGGGCCTCTGAGGCAAGCGCCCACTTGGTATGGTCCAAGACCAGTAGTCCCTGACTGTTCGGTGAGCCTATATGCTCTTAATACACACTCGCAATGCTCTCGACCGGGGGCTGCCAAGAGCCCTGGCAGGATCTGGTGGGACAGTTGCAGGCCACGTGTTCTGCCTTCCCTCAGCTCAGTACCTACTCTGGGGAGTCTTCCCAACAGGGTTCTGACCTGTCGCGACACTTGAGCATCTCTGTGCTGAACCATTTTGCTCCATACCCTAGTGATGTGATTTGTGGGGTCTGGCCCTTCCTAATCCCTAGCCCACAGATGCTTTGGTCGCGGCGACTTCAATGAAGGGTTCAGCTTTTTGCTTTTTCTTTCCCGGGTGTCCCTGGCCTGACAGTGGGGGAGGGCAGCAGAGAACAGCCTAGCCTTTCCTGTCAGTGTCCCAAGCCTTTCAGGTGGATGAAGAAGAAGCCCTCAGGGCTGATCTGGCATCTCCCACCTCCCACTGCCACCCCCGCCCCCGCCCCATTACCCTTTTTCAATTCCTGTCTCCCTCCAGCTTTCCCGTAAGCCTCCAGTCACCTCTCTCTTACCTCGTCTCAGACACTTAACCTTCACAGAGGTGGAGGCCTAAGACCCTTATAAATCACGATGAAAGCTATGGCCTTTTTTCCTGGTAAAATTCATGCAATATTAGGGAGTTCAGAGGTATCCTGAAACTCCTATCCATGAGCCCCACTTTTGGAATCCAAGAACTAAAGTGTAAACAGCTGATTATGGTTTACAATTTGGTGCAAGTATTTTACATTTTAACAGGAGCCAAAGCTTGGCACAAAAAAGATTAGATTCTAAGGTATAACTTTGGACAGTCACAATTGTTTGAAAGAGATTGGATGAGAAAGAGTGAAAAGATATTCTTGGTGACTATGAGATGGTACCAACCCCCACCCCCATCCCCACCCCCAGCACTTCCCTGAAGTAGAACCCTGGCAACATCCTGAATTTCTTCTCCCTCTTCTTCAGACTACACATTCTATCAGTTACTGAGTCCTATATTTTTTTATATTAAATATGTCCCAAATTCATCCCCTTCTCTCCATCTCTCCTACAATTAACCTAGTGCAAGCCTTTGACATTTTCATAAGTAACCCCCTCTCCCACACACACATACTCTCTGATCCCTTGTTATTCTTCTATGTAGCATTTATCTAGAATGTTATATAATTTAATTTTTAAAACATTTCTGTTGTGTTTTTTTGTTCCCTGCTGTATTTCCTGGACCTAGAACAGTGGTTGTTATTTGGTACAATAGTTGTTTAATAGAACATAAGGCAAATTTCCACGTGGTCTTTAAGACTTAGCCTGCCTCCTCCAGAAAGCCTCCCTTGACCACTCTCTACTCTCAGGCCCAATGAGATGCCACTTTTGTTCTCTGTATTCTCACAGCATCTTGTGGTGTGATTGTGTCTTCCTTCTAATGAGCTCTCTGAGAAAAGGGGCTGTGCCTTCTTCATTTGGTTATGCACAGGATACAGCCCACCGCTTGGCACAAATCAGTCTCAGTGTTGCTGCCTCACTTACTTATCTGTCACCTCTAGATGACGATTTCTTCAAGCCAACACTTTTGCTCGGATATCTTACAGTGGTTCTTGGGCCAAGGGATGGTGTCTAGACCTTTCTGCCTATCTTCCAAGGAGGTTGAGGCCCTGCCAACCACCTATAGATCCTACGTCTTGCCTCCTTCTCCACCGCATTTACTTTTACCCTAACCAGCCTGGCTTCAGTGCCCCACAAACGGGCACTGCCCTTCCATAGGGTCTGGAGATCCCACCGGGAATACACACTCTTCTACTCCCACCCTGTCCACAGGGTCCCAGCCCTTCAGCGACCTTTTGCAAGAAACCAGAGGTGGCCAGGCCAGACATCTCTGCTAACTCCTAACCCTGATTGCCAGCTTGTGGAGATGAATGAAAATAACTGTATATAAAGGGCCTGGTATAAGAGCTACATATAGAAGATGCACCCTCCCTGCTCCATTTTTAAAATTTAAAAATTTATGATATATACATGTATAATTTTGAGGCCTCAAACCAAAATAAATATATTGAAGAACCAAATAAAACAAACCGACTCAGTTTCTAGGGGACATCCTGGGGTAGGGCATGGGAGGTGGGGCTGCCCCTCCTGCAAGGTATAGAGTGGCCACCTGACTAGCCCACTAGCACCAACGGGGTGTGGCATCAGCTGGGCAAAAGAAGGTGTAGGTGTCAGGATTCCTGCCCTGGTCACAGGGTGAGCTTTTAAAGTGTTAGTCTCATAGGACTGGCATCTCTTCTCGGCAGGAATTCTGAACGCTCTGAGTGTGGAACTATAACACTTGCGTCTTTTAGTATAGATTCAGAGACAAAAAATAACAAATCCAAGAGTGGAACATAAGGCACCGCTGGGATTCGAACCCAGGATCTCCTGTTTACTAGACAGGCGCTTTAACCAACTAAGCCACGGCGCCAACGTTGCTCGAGCTGTTCCAGATGGTGCACTACAAGAATGTACATTCTGGAACCTGGCCACATCAATTTTTTTCAGGTTTCCCTAAAATTAATTATGACAAAATAATTAGATTTGATGTCAAACATCAATCCATGGATCCCCAATGTTGAAAGAAATAAATCGAAGATCTCAACCCCAGCCAAAAATGCTTGGTTGGGGAGCATCCGAGAGTCTAGGAGTTCCGAGACGGGAATTTCTGGAACACTTATGGAAATAAATTTTTTGTCTTACCTTGGATATAAAGAAAGTAGAGTACGAGCGGGGGAGAAAAATTCAAAAGACCACACGTAGTCGGCAGGATTCGAACCTGCGCGGGGAGACCCCAATGGATTTCTAGTCCATCGCCTTAACCACTCGGCCACGACTACATGGCTACACTTGCCCTTCTCCTCCAAAAGTCTTCTTAGTGTCTGTGTCTGGCAAACCACCCCTTTACGATTTTGCGGTTCTGGGACTAGGAGATTGGCGGGTGTGAACATCGGAGTAGGATAGAATCGTAATGGAACTTTCACTAGCAACCCTGCCCCACACTCTGCCTTTCTGGGGTCCTCGTCTCGTTTCTTCCCTTTCTTTCATCGGCCTCCAACGCGCTCCCAGGAAAGAGAAGACGCGGCAGCCGCCGGGAACCGTTCCTTCTGCCCTAGCCCAGAGAATGTCCTTCCAAAGCCTGGAGTGTTCAACAATTCAGGTTTCGAAAAGCCATGGGTCGTTTGCGATCCAGAGCCAAGTGGCTCCGGGCAGAAACTTCCTGGTAACGGCATGTATGGGAGATGGGAAGGAAAAAACAAAAACAAAAACAAAACAATAAAACCTCAATCCTGGCCCGTACGGGGATCGAACCCGCGACCTTGGCGTTATTAGCACCACGCTCTAACCAACTGAGCTAACCGGCCAGCGATGACAAACGTTGGCTTCAACTACATATACCTATATCAAGAGGTATAGCAGCAAAACTACTTCAATCTTTTAAGATTTTTTTGTGTGACTTACCCATGACTCAAGAGCCTCCCAAATACAATCTGGAAGCAATCTCTTAGAGGGCCAGGAATGACCTCTGAACAAAATTTTCTTACTACGCTAGTCTTTTAACATTTTGATCTAAGGGGTGTGGCTAGGCTCTACCTCTCCATTGAGCAAGCAACTCCCAGGAAAAAATTTGAAGACCACCAACCAAATACATAAGTACCCCCAAATATTTGATTGTGCAACCCCTAAGTCTACGGATTCTGACTTAAGAATTCCTACCAGTCTCACAGTGTGGATCAAAGATTTGCCTTAGGCCTAGCCCATGGGAAATCCACAGTACTGACCACTTGACTGGTGTTCCATAGTACAGGTTTCTTACAAGCCTCTCTTAATGGTTGGCATTCCCCTCACTCCCACTTCCTTATATCCATCTTGTACTTCCCATTAACTCTAGGCTTGCATAATTGACTTCCTCCTCAGCGCAACCTTGCTGACTGAGACCATCAAAGTAATGTTCTCTACCCTGCCCCCACCTCCCCAATTTACTCCCTTTAGGGTAGCTAGCAACCAAACTGACTTTTGGTATTATTCTTCCACTGGACCAGCTCTTCAAACCAGTTTTGGCACTGGTGGAAAACAAGGGTGGAAATGATGGTAAATGATGGGCCAGCTGCCAGGTCAGAAAGTCTGGGACCCCAGGAGCACAAGTGCAAAACATCACCAGAGCTTTATTACAGTCCAAGGGACTTGTCACAAGTGTTAGATAGGACAAGAGTCTCAAGGTCTGGGCTGTTCTTACTAAATGCTATTCTTTTAACATTTTGCTAAATGTTAATTTCCATCTCCTCTACTTGCTAAAAGTAAATGAAACTACCTATAACACAAGGCGAGTCTTCTGTTCCTCTGGCCCCTGCCACAATGGCAGAACCCAGGGTCAGGGTCACCTGTGAATGCAGGTGCTTTGACCCCAAGCAGAGGTAAAATATCAACAGCGCCATGATTTGCCTATTTCCATACTTTCCCCAAGGTGGGCTAGCACCAGAATATGAAGGAGAAATTACAGTAGGGTAGCAGTTTATGAATACAGGGCTCTGGGGTCCTGGTTCAATCACAAAGAAGGCAAGGGCTACGACAAGGGGGAGGAGCTGGGGCCTAGCTCTCAAGGGTTCCAGCAGACAGAAAGAACTTTCGGGCCATTGTTGCAGTTCAGGTTAGCAGGAAGAAGCAAATGCCCCCAGAGAGCTGGAGTGCTCAGGCTCCTGGATAGAGAGACATGACAGTTGGATCGTGGGATTCACACGAGTCAGGAGAGGGAGCTCCCCACATTGGAATCGCTGTAGCCGAGGAGATTCTGAGATAGGAAGAGAGGAAAACACATGCGCTATTCATTTGGTTTTTAGTCCTCATCTACCATTCTCTTCCCCAACTCCAGAAATCCTCTATCAATCCCTCATCCCTCTTCCTCCTGTGACCCATCTATCTACACCCCCACCCTTCCATCCTTACCTAAAGGGATGATCTTGGAGGGTTTCCTCTCAAGCTCAAATGAAAGCACAATAGGGCGGAGGACAGAGAGGCTGGTACAAAGTGTCCGGAGGAAGAGGGTCAAGGGCTCACCAATCTTGGCTGAAGACTAGAAAGGGAAACTGAGGATTAAGCAGAACTCAAACTCCTACATCCTCTACCAAACCCTCAGGAACATGGGTATCCGAGACCCACCTCCTAGCCACATCTCACCTCAGGTTGGGCTCCAGGCCCTGTAAATTGCAAGGCCACTTTCCCTGGCCCTCTGACAAATTCTAGGAGGGAGGTCCACTCACTAGGACACAGCCCTAGTGCTGCTGCCACATGATGATTCCTACAGGTCACCACAGCTTCAGCAGTTCCATCCTCCACCAGAAGCCTGGGGGGGGGG